AATTCGAATTATTTAAAAAACCTTTAGATTTAGACATTATAAATCTTATTAAAACAAACACTTATTTTGCTCAGAGAATCCAAAAATGCAATAATTTATAGGGTATTTCATTTGGAAAAACACAACGTTGATACTTTTAGGGCTTTTGGGACACTCTGTACATTACAAAAATATTTTTAAAATGTGCACCCGATAGGGGTCTGTGGATGCATCAAATAATACTTTGCAAAAAACAAACGGGCTAGCCGCAAACGTCCGTGCCGTATACGTGAATAACCCTGTATAAGTACAACTTGAAACAGTTAGGTTTTAGTAAGTAGAAGAACTGGAAACGATGCTGTTTTTGCGGCATTTTTCAAGCAGCTTTTGATTGAAAACATTGAAAGTGTTATTGATGCGAGCAGTGGAAATTCGCCAAAACTTGAGCGCAATTTTTTTGCAATCCGTTTACGCACATCCATGGGTCTCAAGTAAAAGTATCTCCGATTATCGCAGATTGATAACGGGTATTTACTAGCGATTCGCACTTACCGATTCCAAAAAATATAAATCCGCCATAAACGGGCACATCGGTCACACTAATCGTGAGAATTTGGATCAGGGCTGAAACAACCCCACATAGTGCCTGGCCAGTCAGGATTGCGCTGTAGTATTGAACCGGGAATTTTCTTACCATCTCAAACAGACTTACCAGGATCACTGCACTCGACACTAGACAAACATTTGCCATTAGTAGATGGTTTTGGTTGTTTTCCGCAACTTACCCCCCAGGAAACATGCTATGCACATGACAAGGAAGAAAAACACCCCTTGAACTAGAAAAGAATCAAAAACGTGTTCAGTTGGAACCTCCAAGGGTAAAGCTGGAAAACTCACAGGAGTCGGTGACTAAATTGCAGAAAATCACGTTAACCACGTAGAAGACTAAAGTGCATAGTAAAGCGGCTGATATTCGCTTGTCTGGCGGCGGCAACGTCTTGGAAAAAGCTGCCGTTAGTAAAATGAAAATAATCACCGATAATTGCGACACTATGTAGTAACACGCTGGAAAACTAGCCTGCAACACATTGCGTTCTTTTGGAGGGCCTGGGCCTATGTTGGGATCTTCTGGTTCGGTTTGGGACCCCATGAACCGAAACTTAAACATCCAGTACTGAAATATTCGCAAAAAATGCGCTGTTTTTCGGGCAATTTTTGAAAATTTCTACTTACTCGGTTGGCATTGATAAGGAAATAGTTGGGGATGAACGTGAGTATCCCCAGCAAGTAAAATATACCATACGTAATGTAATACTTATCCTTAATATTGGGTATGTTCATCTTTTTTTTACGATTCGTCTCACAGTTATTTTCTTAATAAACAATTTTATCTGCGAATCTCTCAAGTACATAGTTAGCCGTTCAGTGATTAACTTTTCCCATAAATGTATGGGACAAGCTGTTCTCATCTGGAACAAAACCATCCACATTAATCAACGATGAGTTATGGCGAAAGCCCCGAGGTTTATTCTTTCCGCATTTATTGCTCGATTTCAATTAATTGTAGCTAATTTGAATTGCTTTGTCAATATTGAAGGCGAACTTTATGAGGACACAGTTCGGCATTCTTTACAAAATCTTAACTTAATCTGGGCTATATAAATATCTTTGTCTGATTACGATTGCCACGTGACTGCAACTGAACTTTTCATTCGCTTAAGGCATTTAACAAACAAATCTGTTAGCAAATTGCTGAAAACCAGCTGGAATTAAGTTACTGAAGTTTTACACCCAAACGAACACGCCCTACATTAATCAACATTTTTCAATAAAATGAGACTTTGACTACTCCTTTTGTTCAAAGTTGGACAAAGCAAACAGCATTCCAGATAGAACATGCAGCGCGGAGCGCTTGAAGAGTTTAAGTTTTTTAAACATTTGACCAGAACTCGTTAGATTGGAAACAAACTATTTTAAAATGCGTAAAGCCGCTGTTAGTGAGCACTTTTTAGCATATGCTTAAGCAAATCATACCTAAATATGTTCGAGTTACGTCCGAGAACATTTCCCTGGTTTGCACCTTAGCAACTGTTGGTTTTCTTCCAAAGTAATCCACATATGTAAATGCTTTAAACTAGCGTGGTTTAATATGTGGAAAATTAATTAATTGCTACGACTAAAATATGTGCGGTGAATATTAATGAAATGTTTCGCAATTATGCAAGGACAAAGTCGTTTGTTACCTGTTTGAGTTGGGGGCTAATCTAACATTCGTAAACCACAGCTACTCACTTGTGTTCGGTCGAAAATGATTTAGTCTCTATTATCTGCGGATTGTTCCACAGTTGTAGACAGTTTGCAGGTTCGCCAGAGCACCAGTAACTTGTCGCACCTAATCGTATATCGGTCCATAACATTAGGGAAATATCAGCAAAAATTTTACGACACTTTTAATTCAAAAGATTAATAGATTTGAGCAAACAAGCGAATAATTGACATTCCATTTCAATAGTGAGAGCTTACAATGTACACTTGACTACATACATGCCGTATATTTTTGTAAAAACATTAGAGACGCTAAAATGTGTATTGCACCTGATAAAATGCGGTGATAACAATTTAGATAACATTCCTGACGATAAGAGCATGATTACCGGGAAATTACGATAATTTTTTTGTATTGCTCTACTTTTATTAGGCCTGAAACGTCTTTAATTTATAGCCAAGCGCTATGGTGCGAGCTGATAGCATTCGACCTTTTTGCATCGTATTTCAAGCGCATAATTTTTGGGAAAGTTGAACTTTTTCCATTCTTTTAACAGTCAGGCTCTAATTTAACGGGTTTTTGCATATGGTTACTATTAGTTTTTTTCGATATAACTCGTGAATAGCTCTAGTTCCATCACGTGAGGATGGAAAGTTTAGATTAATTTGACTCTCGGTTTTTCTGCTGTAGACATTGATTGAGTTAATCCAAAAATGCAGCAGATAATGCCGCTGCTAATCTTGTGATGCCGATTTTTGTGCCACCTTATCTTATCTAAGCATAATACCGACTGTGCAAGATTTCATTATTTTTCTCCTGCTTATTGAAAACTGGAGTACTTGAACCTGATGAGCTTTTCAGCCTTTTAGGCCGTGGTCGAAATAGCTCCTGCCTGGCGTTTTGCAACTGATTTGCATCTTCAGAGGTGCAACAAGGCCCGAAAAGCTCAGCAATTTCCAGAAACGACCGCAAAACCCCGTCTCTTTTGATAACTCTACTCATTAAACATTCGAATCTTTAAGCAAACTAATTGATTTTTTGTTACAGCTATTGAAGAAACCAACGAATATTTGTGCCGCTACACAGATGAAGATCATTGTCAGTTCACCTACGTGTATTACTACGATATTGAAAGGAAGCTGCATATCAGGGCGCAGCAGGAAAGAACGTGCCCCCCTGAGGTAAAGTTGGTCGTAAAACTATTTCAACTTGATCCAGGTCGCGCGGCTTATCGTTTTATTATATTTAAATTAATTTTCGACACATTCGCTCCCTGTTTGCCTAGTTAATTGCCCATAAATCAGCACACTCTAGTGAGTTTTACCTATCAATTCCTGCCTCTTCAATCGAGCAGACAATGTCTTGTATTCGTTATGTTCAAAAATATGCGCGGAACCCTAATAGTCCAAAAGTAAGCCGAGTAAGTCTTTAAGCGCACACTAAGTTAACTCATGCTTTCAGATATTTGTGCTCGGAATTGTATTTGGAGTTATTGCCGCTATTGTTCTCATTGGAATGGCCATTTTACTGCTATGGAAACTTCTGACCACGATCCATGATCGGCGGGAGTTCGCCCGATTTGAAAAGGAAAGAATGTTGGCCAAATGGGACACTGTAAGTCAACAGCCTCTGTTGATAAAAGCTCCAGTTTAGCTGAGTTTTTTTGCTGTTTTAGGGCGAAAATCCGATTTACAAGCAGGCGACATCGACGTTCAAAAATCCCACATACGCCGGCAAAGGCTAAAACCATGAACTAAGTTAAACTAAGGCCAAACTGAAGGTATGTATGCAACCTCTACATATTGCCAACTCTAGCTAAACTGCCATATTATACTTAGGCAAATGAATGCATTAAGAAAACATAATAATTCGCGTTATTTTTTTCAAATTCAAGTTTTTATTTGACCTGATTGTTTACGTTCTCAAGCTCGGAAACATTATAAATTTCGCCACGCTTTAATTAGAGTTAGTTGAGTTGATTTACTTAACTTATTTTTTTTAATTAAAATACTAGAAATGATGTGCCTAAAAACTAGTGTCTTAAAAACTTGTCTTAAGAAAGCGTAGGTGTGAATTATATTTTAATAACTAAACAATGTACGAATAGCTCGATAGGATATAGAATCTCGAATATAGAAAGCACTTTTTTGTGCGCCACAACGCTACTAATCTCGTAGTAGGTAAAACTCTTTTTTTTTATTGTAGTTTTAGTTCAGATATTATGTAAGTGTGCGAATTAAATTAATATGTCTACGCTTAGTAATAGGTATGTTGGTGAATATTTAAACGAATTTTTAAGTTATAATAGATCGCCAGAGAAAGTACTTAGAGCGCTTATAGACTCATGGTAGAATAGTTTCAAGGTGCGATAACTCGAATTGATTATGATCTGATTGTTGTTTAGTTTTTTATTTGAGTTTATGAATCGTTGTTTAACACTGACTAAATTTTAAATCCCTTAATAAAGCGTTTAACTGTGTGTGTTCAATTATGTCGATAAGAGCACGATTTTTAAAATGCGAAAAAAGTGAATTGTATTTAATGTGCAACTATAGGTGTTTTTTGGAAGGCAAAAATCAAGAGTCGAAGCTGAAATGCATTTTATTTAAAACAATAATCACAATATATACTCGTTCTACAAGCAATAAATAATGTTAAACCACACTAGTTGATTATCTCAATAACAAGTTTTGAAAAAACTATTCTAAGGTCCCGTTTTTCCTTAACAGTTAATCGTAATGCATGCAATTTTGTTCGCGTCGACTCATGGAAAAAGACACCTTAGCTTAACATCCACAAAACAAACACTTTTAACATTTAAACATGAAACAAATATGCAGGAAGGCGATATACTTTCGATTAATATCGTAACTTACGTAAAACCAATGATAACTGGACCTAATTTCAATTGATTCGATTACTGTGTATATGCATTGGCTTATTGAACGGTTATCGTTTTATAAAACTCTTCTTTACATTTGAGAACGATTCAAACGCACAACTTGGTCAATATACGAGACCAACTTCTCGTCCAGGAAAAATGTAGGAGTTTAAGCTAGTGCTGAAGGTGTTTGATAATGGTCTAGCTTCTACATAATTTCAAATTCAAATTTTCAAAACCCATTAACAGGCTCTTTCTGTTATATTACCTTAATGGGAAACTCCGGCCAATAGTTAATGTGATACCTTTGGGTCGAGCCCTCAAATAGACGGTCTAACCAGTTAGAGAGGCCGTCCAACAAGGCTCCTTCCAAGAGGACGTCTTCTGATTCAGAATCGGATTCTGAGTTGAATCCGATGAAGGCTCCGCTTTCGCAGTCCTTTTCCGCATCCTTACTTTTTTCTATCTTTTTTAGCGCCTAGGATTTTATTTGATGTGAACATGGACTATTGAAAAGTTGGTGCAAAGTTTAGGTACCTTCTTTTTCTTTTCGCGGTGCTTGGCATGAAAAACGCAGAAATACTTTCGGTGGCCATTCAGCGCTAAAACGGTGCCAACGCAGTTCCTCGGATTGATGTTCAGTTCTGTTTCTTCGAATAGAGACACTTGCAGCAGGTCCTTGTACCAAGCCAGGCCTTTTTCAATGTACATGTAGGCGAAATTTAACGTTTTGTTCCTAGATAAATACATCTTTTTAAGACTTAAAAATTCTAAAATTGTACCCACCACGCACTTTCGATACGGCCATACGGCTCGATGGAACTGAGGAATCAGTTGCTGTCTTGACTGCATGTCCAAAATCAGCAAAACAGTTCTACAGCCAGGTTTTAACATTCTAACCAGCGCATTGTATGATTCCGACCTGAAATCGTGCAGCTTGAGTTCCGGCTGATAGGACGGCTTGGAATTATTATTGTTGTTTCCAGACTTATCAGAGGCTCGCATTTTTTTCACGTTTTCTTCCTCCTGTTCCCTGGAATAAACACTTTTATTGAAACCCCCTAAACCCGACTGAGTACCCCACTTACACTAAATGCGCCATCAAATAACCGATGCCCAATATGAATAGAATCGAGCCAAGAACTGAAAGTATGGGCAGGACTTGTTCTTTGCCCAGACTATCGTAGGCAAGCTCTATATACTGAGTGATTCGGAAGAAGATCTTTTTCAAGAGCGTTAGCGCATGTTCGTCGAATAAATCCTTTAATTGCAAGACCCATTAGAATCCCTAATAAAAACAGCGTGTAACTTACGGTAACATGGGCCTCATACTGAAAATTCTCCGTCGACTTTAGCAGCCTTAGAATGGTTTCTGCGAGCTTTTCGTGGCTGTTGTTTAGATGATTCTCAATTTCCCATTTCACTGGCGACCACTCGTATTTCACCAGCGAATTATCGCGCCTCCAAAACAACAGGATACGCAATAGAGGCTCAACAAATTGATCATCTGCAAAAACAAAATAAATTCCCCGGCCGGAAATATTTAGATTCAATTCGTACTCGGTCGAAGGGCATTGATAAAATGCGCCTGTCGCTTATGGTAGATGTACGTGAATTGAACTTTCTCTTTGTGTCCTTTGGGAAATTGTTCAGCATATTGTCTGAACGCCTTACGATGGAGATCATGCTCTGAAGATTCCTCAGTTACAAGAGCGACGCAGATTTTCATTTTCGGTTTACTCCATCCGGAGGGACAAAGTTCATCTAATAAATTCTGCAAGCGCAAATATTGCATCAGAGTTTTTATTAAACGTTTGTGCAAAAAATTGCGACATTTTAAAATGCTGTTAGAATGTTCAGGTTTGTTGGGTTAAAACTCGATTTTTGGGATTTTTATCGTTTTCAAATATACGCGCATCGTGTATTTATAGCTCGTCCTCAATTCGCTTGATACACACAAGATTTTTCTCGTTTTAAACATTCAGCTTTCGCTTTTCATTAAATCGTTGCGCAGTTTTGAGTTTCCTACTTGTTGACTGACTAAAGCAGCATTGCTTTGCATGCAAATATAATTGAATAAAAAATTCAAATCACTGATCTATGTGCAGTCGTATCATCTAATCAGCGATGATTTATATAAATTTACTGTTATTATTTATATGGATATGACCTTCCGTTGGGGGCTTATCCGCAATTGCAGCCATAAAACATGGCAAGTTAATCTGATATATGGCAGATAACTATTTGTCTGCATTATTAGAAATTGTGTCTATATTAAAACCTATGCATTTGCAATATTCGGACAAGAATCAAGCCAAACAAGATATTTAATGAGTTGCTGTCTAGGAATAGATCATAATGTTGTGCACCCAAACACGCCCCAGATTGTTCACTTAAAGAAGAAAAAAGAAAATCAGGAGGTTTGATAAGCATTTCAATGGGATTAACCAGCCGTGTCTAATTTGTTATAGTCATGAAACCGCTTTGATATTTCGCATAGAATAATGGGATTTTCGGAGGAAAAAGAGCAACAGATAATCGCAGCTTCAGCCTACCTGTGATGATAGCCTGGGCAGAGCTAAATAAAGATTTGACGAAACCACAGCGTGCAGTTTGTTAATAGGAATTTGTTCCATTGTGATGCTTGCCACAGGTGAAGAGGCATTCTCGTTGAACAAAAGCACAGTGTCCATATTCAAGGGGACTTTGTAATTAGCGAACAGCTCCTGTGATTCGGCAAATCTAGAACAGTTGAAATATTAAAAGGCCGAACAAAACGCGGAGTTTTTCGAGTTTTAAGCCGCGTTTAAAAGTTATACCCAAATGCTACTCTCTGTCGAAAACGAAACGCTGTGGCAAGGAAGTAGAACTGGCGTTTTGGCTTTTGTGTGAAAATCAGGCCTCTGACTCTGTTGTCCGTCCATCCATTGAGGAAACTGGCCACATTATCGACGCCCACTGTGGGCACTAGCTTGTAGGGAAGCTTCTTTTTAATGAAATCTGGAAACTTGCGAACTGCAGAAACTCGGATTGAAGCTACCGCATTGCTTACCATATAGTTTGGAGTATTTGGTAATTCCATCCCTATAAATGTAGCTGTTGCCGTCTACGAGGAGGACCATACAAGGGATGGATGGCACATTCAGACGCCTTACCACGGTTGGCTCTCTATTGGCATAAACCGAGACCAGATCAATGCCTGTAGGCTTGATTGCATCGAGAATTACGCGACAATGTCGAGCGGATTGTAAGCATGGAAAACACCAATCAGCGAAAAAGAATATTAGATAGGGTTTTGTTTGGCTCGCCGGTAGAATCACGGTGTCGAACATTCTATAACAAAAACGCTGTATAGCATCTCAAACATCTATGCAGAATTTCTGCAAGTTTTCTACCTGGTGTTGATAGACAGTTCGTGAAAAAATCTGATATCTTCCTCATGGAAATTAAATCGCGCCCCTTGAGTCGCACTGAACGGCTGGAAGTGACTCGGATGATCTCCCTTATGAAATGCATCTTCAGTAATACCTTTCTGGTCATACAACTTTCGTCTATACTCATCGATCAACAACTCATAGGATTGTTTGATTTCAACAAATCGGTCCGCAGCATTTGGGTCTTTTGATTTGTCTGGATGCCTGAAAGCATGCCTTCTTAACAACACGTAATTTAATAAAGATCAAATTTACCATTCTTTGACCAGCGCTTTATAGGCGGTCCGTATTTCAGCCGTTGTTGCCGTAGGGCTTACACCCAAATTTTTATAGGGGTTACCTAATTCGCCTAAAACACTCACAAACACCCAACACCATACGAATCCCAGGCAAAGAACGCGAAAACGATCCCATCTCATCTTAGTTTGTTTAGAATCTCATTAAACATCTACCTAAAATTAGGAAAATGAATAATAGATGATAAAAATAGGAAGCATTATTGATTTTAAACTATGGTCCGGAAATTTAGGGTTAGGTTCACAGATTATTAAACTGTTTAGTTTGGCAACCTTCGCGAATGCGGCAAACCGTATTCAGTCTCGCCGCCAGCGATGCGAGCTGGTGATTAAACCGCGAAATTCAAATGTTATTTAAGTTAGTCATTAAAAATGCCAAAAAATCAGCTTTTTAAATAGCACCTACAAAACAGGTAAAAGCCTACAAAGCTGATAAAAAATAACATTAATTAAATCATTTCTATTAAGTATCTGGCACCCCTTTCGTCTCATCTGCAAGACGAAAGTTTGATAGCAAAAGGTGCATGTTTCAAATATATTTATTTATTTTTTAAATATATTTCAAATATATTTTATAGTGTTGACTATTGTTGGCGCGGGCACGCGTAACACGGAATGTACAGAAATGCTGAGATGAGCACGCCCTGGTCAACCTATTTTTTGACGTTTGGAGTTGAAGATAGTTCCTAATGATCTTCTGCAGGGATTTATAAGAGCGTCATTTACTTCTAAGCTTTAATTAATCTTTTCTGATTGATTAATTAATTCCAGAAAAACAATTAATTCCGTTTCAATCAAAGTAAAATATTTGCAATTTATTTTTACTAATGTGCTGCAAGGAGTTTGTAGCAAAAACACTAATTTTTTTGCAATAGAAATGCGCTATCTTTCTCCTTCCCGCACATTGTTGCAGTTGGTCTCTTTCAGCCATGTTGCCAGCTTTAGCAAATTATTATTCCCTTAAAACCAAATATAGGCAAATGAACACCCTGAAGCTCTTGCCTAGAATTTCCAGCACCAAACCACTAAACAATTGCTACTACACCACACCAAATAATAAAACCAAAAACAATCTCCGATCAGTACAGGATTAATTTTGCTACCCATCCGGCATCGTTGCCTAAATGGAACAATTATGACACGTTTCGTCAAATAAACGTCAGGCAAAGAACGAAACCGCAGTCCCAGGTCGATTAAAGCCCTGAGTTTCTTAAATTGTGGCCCAAAATTGGGACCTTTAGGCTGCAACTCATTGATCGTCAAAAATTTTAAATTAATTTTGATCCGGTTTGTCGGGTAGTCCAGTAATCGGGACAATATACAGGTGGACACCAGCCTTCAACTAGAGCTACACTTTTAAGCCGGAAAATGAGTGCCCCCGTCTATGTGGAAGAAGAATTGGGCCGAAAATGGGACAAGTGCTTATCGGACTCCGTCATTAAGTTCGGTAAGTGGTGTATTTTTATGTATAACCGAAAAATGGCCTGTTATGTCATCACAACATGTGAGCGAATCTAAAGATATCAAATGACTTCTTACCCAAGAATCTTCATTTAGTAACAGTTAAGATCCTTAAAGACGCTGGTTTCTTAAGTGTTTTAAGGCCCATTTGGCTAAATTATTTTTCTTTTGGACTAGGTGGAGGAATCGTGCTGGGCAGTGTATTTTCGTTGTTGTTCTTCAAAAGACGACGATGGCCAATTCTGATGGGAGGCGGTTTTGGCGTGGGAATGGCCTATTCAAATTGCGAGAAAGATATAAATGCCACAATACGTAGTTGTGATCCACATAGTCCTTCCAACGAGAAGAAGTGAGCTATTTTAGCAGCACCCGCATAGGATACTACTGCCTCTTAGTAACTATCATACTGTATGGTTCTAATTTATTTTGGAAATCACACATAGCATGTATATATATTTTCTATTATAATAAATACGTTTGTTTGTTTTCCTCTGAGGTGTTTTGTTAAGTTCCTTCGAGTTCTAGGGTGCCTAAACATAATAAAGTGCGGCTAAATAGATGGTTGCCTGTTCGGGCCTGGAACGCAGTAACGCACAAATCATTTTGAGATTCAATTTGAACTTTAATACTATTTGATTAGATGTAAATTAAAGACAAATTTCATTAGCATACGGTGTTAAATTTACCTTAACCTAGCGCATTCTGTACAAAAGTGAACAAAACAGTTGTAAACGTTTGACTATTTTCAAATAAAATCTTGATTTTCTACTTAGCATCACATAGAGAAAACAATATATAATTTCGCTTATCTAAATATGTGGTCTAGCCATATATGTATCATATTATAGGGCTACTCTAAAAAGTTGTAAGTAGTGAATTAAATTATACACTTACAAATCACCATACATTGAAGCCAGTCGTCTTCACCGACTTAACGCATACCAGACTTTGAATGTGCTATCAGCCATTGCAATGTTATGTCAATATTGTCCTTCTCTTTACAGGAAATTGAATAGCAGCATATTTCACGATCCTGAATAGCTGACAAATTCCTAAAAGATTAATCAATGTCCAATCACCCAATCAAATGGACGGGTTGCGGGTTTTTCTTACATTCTTTCAATAAGGCCATTTTCATCAAACGCTTGCGGCTTATCTCGTTTATTGCCAAGAACTAGAACTGGAATCCCAGCCAGCTGGGGCTTGTCTAACAGATTATGCAATTCATTGCGCGATGCTTCTATTTTATCAGGATCAGCCGCATCTACCATATACCTAGAAAACATTCCAATTCGCATTCAATTATTTAAGAATTTGCGCTCAGCCACTTACACAATGGCGTTTACGCCCCTACAATAACGCTCCCACATAGACCGAAATCGGGGCTGACCGCCAATGTCCCAAACTTTTATAGTCACATTGCCTTTTGTGATTTTTCTCATGTTGAAACCTACAGTCGGAATCATGTCTTCACTGAATTGTCCAGACTAAATAAATAGAAAACGGTGTAAAACATTATGTGGACGTACCGAAAAATGCAAAGGTGGGACAGTTTGTTCGCAAAATGCTTGGGCTTTAAAGGACTGTTTTACGCAACATTTTTCAAAGTTTCCAGTGATTTTTCTCAAGTCACAACCTTTTTTTGCAACTGTCCAGAAAAAAGTGGGTTTTTAATACAAAACGATGGTCGTTTTGGACTTGAGCAGAAAAAATCGAGCCAATTAATATGTACAGTCTTCGAAAACGAAATTCCAGGATCCACTTCTTGTCTGAATGGTGAAGATTTTCCCAAAGAGATACAAAAAGCAAGGTTTTTGCAACAAATTCTCTAAAAAATGCATCAGCAGCTAGAGCATTTGACCAACTTGACAACAAATTGTGAATTGGTCTTCAATTTAAAGTGTCTTCACACTGTTCCCGGGGGCAATATATATTTCTAATCGAAAATTCACGATGATGAGGTTGCTCTGGATTAAAAGAACATTTTATTTGTTAGTTCATTGCGAGAATAACATCGATAATCTACCAGGCCAAATGCATTCAAGGCCTTCAGCCCCGTATTTTTCATTTTTATTCTCTTAGTCCTTATCAATTAGCACACATTTCTGCTCTTTATCTACCCGGAGGAAAACCAGTTTCATGCAGACTAGAACAATTAGCTCAGGACTTAAATCTTAAAACTTTTGCCTATAAATACATTAGCTCAATTTACATAATCTAGCTGAGCATTTAAATGAATTTACGGGTGGTTTTGAACAAATTATACTGAAATGAAAATCAGCCTTCCATCAACCCAATAGCTCGAATTTAAATTGTTTTTTTAACGCATTCCGTGGCTTCAAACCCTATCAAAGTTGAATTAGCTGCTTTGAACAAGACTGAAGCCATTATATTGTACATCTAAATTGTTATCGAGCATTATCTTCGGCAATAATTGTCTGATTAGCATGCACTGTACCGCAATGGAACTGGTTGTAAAACTTTCCATTATGGTGTTACTGGAACCAGATTTGAGGTACTTACAGCGATAACATTAACGAAGGTTGTCTTGCCGGAATATTGAAGACCCACCAAAGTTAATTCCATTTCCTCCTTCCAAAAGAGGCTTCTGAACCAATCCAGGATTCTGTTCATCAGGGCCAACATGATGGACGTTTGGGGGGCGAACGAGCTTGATTAAACGAACTAGACGGTTTTCAACATGCACTCGAAATTGTGAAACTTGCTTGGCAAACAAACAATTAGGGGAGTAATTAGCAGAACTTTTATTGTTTTCGATTTTACTTCTGTCAGTCTCATAAAAGTCATAAATAAGACAACTCCATAGAACAAGGCACAGAACACTCTGAACAAGGCTTACAACTTCACAGATCACAGAGTAACCTCTGTGATCTGTGGACAACTCTACTTGTTTAAGTGCTAGAAACAAGAGTTGGATGCGCCCCATCTTTTGTCACTTAAGTGAGCTATTGCCCAACGACATAGAAAACTGCAATTTGTTTGACAATTATTAAAGGAACGAAATCGATACTTTAGCAGGCTATCGTCGATTTGGTTTACTATAAACGATAAGTAGGTATGTTGATGTAAAGGAGTATGTTAATAATATAAAAGGTTTTTGAATGAAAGTGAAAAAACTAAAAATGCAAAGTTAATAAATAATTTGCAATGAAAACGATCAAAATTTTTTAAAATAATTCCTGATACTGTTACTGAAAAAACCGTTCAAAATCTGTTTTTCCAATTGGAGAGCCCAACTTTGATATGTTTTTCTAATTTAGAATTGAAAACTAAAGTGATTTTATGCGAGGATGTCTATAACAAAAATGTTTAGTTTACGAAATACTCCCCCAATTCAATATTTTGAAAGCTAAACATTTTTAGAATGGACAACCCTAACAGACTTACTCTTATTTTGAATACTAAATAAGATAAAATTATCAACATTTGAGGTTGGCATTTGAAAAAAGCCTATTAAGGCGCTCTCCTTTCTTAAAACAATAAACAGTGAAAAATGTAAAAAAACAGCGCGAAATCTGAATGGTTTGGTCAGAATCGGACTCAACGTTTTGGCGTGCTGTCCTCCAATAACGCAATAAACAATAAAAAATTCAATTATTCGCACATATTCCAGTCCCTGGAACTCGAATCGTCTAACAAGAAAAAAATTGTTTAAATTTGTAAATTTGGCAAAAAAATATATTTTCGTCAACAAGTTTCCAACGGGTTTGGATGATCGCAGTCAAAGATAAACAGTCAAATATAAACAAATCAGATGACGGGACGCATGAGATATTCTTATATTGAATAAAATGCTAGCTATCGAATCAGTAATTTTATTCGATTTTTAACAAATACTGAATAATTTAAGCTAGATCAGACCGTCTCCTTTTGATGCAAAGACTATCGCAGTATCCTTTTGATTATGTGCTTACGGGACACCCTGTACAGGTCGCAGTAGCTCCCGGTGGGACACCCTGTATAGAGTGTTTGAATCGCTAATCAAAAGGGATCGTTGGTTAAAGAGCGCGACTGCACAGAAACTCCTTAAAATAGTTGAAAATTTTCCGGATTTTATGGGAAAACAGGCTAAGAATTGAAAGATGTTTTGTCATCAAGTAAATTCCCGCATAGGATTAAACGCGCCTCATTTCGCTTTACTTCAGCTGGCGTTAAACTTCTGGACTTTCCAGATTCGGCAGTTGCTCAATCTTCGGGTGAGGACCCGATGTGGATCTCAGAAATGCACCCCAACAATTGTTTGCGAATGAGGGAATTTTATCGGGATTTTCATTTTCATTCAATTAACGATGCGAATCTTTAATTGAATGAAAATGATAAAATAAAATTCCCTCATTCGCAAACAATTGTTGGGGTGCATTTCTGAGATATCAACTTATTTAGTTATCGGTTAAATTTGATCCGGCGCAAAGCAGGCAATCTGTGTTGATTAACCTCTATTCCCTAGTCCCGATTTTTATGATTTATCCCAGTTTAAACAGATTTTACGAGCGACTGATCCCGACACGCGTCACCCAGTGTTCCGCACATAAATATTTGCAAGCGTTTCTATCTAGTTAAACGTGGGCGTTCAATACGGCAAATTACCCTTTTATTGCAACCCGCAAATGATCGCATTGGCCATAAACATATTTTTTTCGAAGAATGCGACCTCGTTTCGCCTTCAATGCGTTAAACGAAACAAGAAAAAAGGGCAAGAGCTAATTAATTCAATTCGGATACTTGTAATAACCCACGTTTCTGGAAAATGACCGCTAAAATATTGCGACTTTCGGCTGGATGAAGATATATTTAGCGTTTCAAAGACACGCAATCCTGCTGCCAAGGGAGCGGTTTTTTTGCAAGGACCGCAAGTTGAAAGTTTGTCTTCGGTCTTGCATGGTGAAGCCTGGGTTGGAGTCAATCCATGTTCTAGTGTGGGCTTAAGGATCAATTAAATAAAGGCATGCAAGTGTTGTGGCGCGAAAAAGCATAATATGCAGATATTTGGTCAAATGACACACACGCAACCTGTTAAGGGAGCGGCGCGGCGTGAAGGACGCAGAAAACGTCGGGCATCGCGACGCTGTTTGCGCTAACCGACGCTCATTTCATCGTTCGCGCTATTGCGAAAAACTCTTCGGGTTTCACACTAAATTTGATAGTTTTTTTAGTCAAAATGACTTTGTCAACACTGTGCCCTTTTGCTGCTGTTGTCACTTTTTTTGGTAAGTCTCAATTTTGGCTTTTGTCACACAAAAATAAAATATCGTGCGATTTATTCTTTGGGAATTTTCAAAAGTTTGAAATAGTTTTTGAGGACTGGTCAGTTTTGCTGATTTCCCAACAGCACTCATTGATTTTTTCGAAATATTTCAAACACCCTGTATATTCACCCATTCACTCACCCCCATCTCTTTAGTGCAATTAAAAAACATGTTTAAATTCTAAAAAATTGCAATTTTTGACAATTAATTTTTTTACTCTGGAAGTTAGTGAATTTTTCAAATTTTTGTTAAGTGAATATTTCCAATCATATACGGAAACTTTAAACTCATGTTGTATGATTTCATAAATCATTGTCATGTTAGCTACTTCTAGTGTCATTAGGTGCTTTCAGACAGTGCATATTTCCATTTATTTCCATTATTTACTTTGCGATGCCGTTGGTTTTACATAAAACAATGCACATTTATAATAGCGCAATTTATGAAATCTGATTTTACGGATGTTGCTTTTGAATAATGAGGAAAACCTGTTTGCTTCACTAAATTTCCCTCATAGCTATTTATTTAAACCAGAATTAATCAGAGATTTTTCTTGGCTTTACTTCTTTTTCAATCGCGACTGTTTGGTACATAAAATCGCAAATTTTCAACCGGAGGAGAAAAATTTGTCGTTATCGACTATTTCGACAACCGTTTCTTAGCTCCTAAACTTAATACCGAAAATATTTAAAAACATGTAAATGTTTTTCACGGATATTCATTTGAATATAGAAATGAAATGCAAAAAAGTTCAAACAAACATAAACCTTCAAACGCTTCGCTTTCAAAATACAGAGCGTAAAAGACTCACACTTTTTACCGGTTTCTTCTTATATAGTTAATTGCATATTTGATTCAAATTTCAACTGATTGTTAAATTTTAAAGAGTTATTTCTTTCGGCGCTCTTTTTGCCACCCCAAAACTTTCTTTAGTGAGCCCCTCATATCCCACAGTCTCTTTGTCAAATCCCTTGTTCAATTTAGAAACATTTTTACCTCGCGCATTTAATTTGTATCTGCCACTGTTTTCCAGTTATTTGCAAATGTTTCTCCAATTTAACTTCAAAATTTGATTTTGAAAATAAAGCATTTACAAACAAATGTTTTCATGAACTTTTCGCCTCAGTTCGGGCCATAAAACAGCCCTAAAATTAATATACAAGAATTTTCAGTCATACAAGACTTTTCAGTATTTTGTCAAATGAACGTGATTGATTATGTGCATTTATTCCCATCGGATACATTTATCTTAGGCAAGGACAGAGACGAGGTTGCACTGGAAATTTGATTAACATCCAGAGCTCAGATATGCAGCATCCAAAAAAAAAACTAAAAAAAATCAGATAAAACCGCCCAGAGAAACCTCATTAAAACTTTTGCACTTGAGCGATTTTTTGGAAATTCAACTACATTTTAATATTGTTTGCCGTTGTTCGTATACACATGTGCACACGTGGAACACTCCAACAATATTATTAACAGACGCAGTTTGCTTGAGTAACATAACAAAAACGTGGCCGTTGTAATGAGCCAAAAAATACGGTGCCTGCATTTGAAATCGATCCGTAAATTAATGTGCGAAATCGATTTTTAATTGATGTTGGCTTATACCGAACTGTGGACTGTTGACATTAATTTTCGCTTAACTTAATGCAACCGATAAGCAAACCGAAAATAAATATTTAAATTCCCGCCATATGGCGCCGTTTGTAACTTTCCAAGTGCAACGAAAAACGTGATTAATATAAGTTGAAATGAAGCAATTTTAAAGAAAATTCTACTAGCACCTAATTAGATCGTCTGTAGTTACACATTAATCCTTTTTTTATTATCCGCAATTCTTCCGCTTGAATTAGTTACTGTTTGTTCTTTAGACTTTCGCATGAAGCAACATGTAATAAATACAGGCGGATTAATAATGAAATGGCATTAAAACTTCCCACAAGCATTTACAACGCTGGTAATGATGCTTTTACACGGCGATTCGGAGAAGCAGTTTGAGATAAATCTTTTATAGGAAGAGGGTTTTTAATGGTTTTTTCCTGCTAAAGAAACTATCAAGTTTTGCACTGAAATATTAACGTAGGTTCATTATGAGTGTTCTCTGCATTTTTGGGGAACTTGTTCTTTGAAAAATGTATTTTTCTAATTTATTTAGTTGTGGTTCATAATTTGGTTTGGTATGTCACACCGATGATTATAAAATTGGCACAAATTGTTTTTCGGCAAAATTTTTGGTTAATTTGATTAATTATTGCTTTTGGTTTAATGCAGGAGGATGGGAAATGATGGAAAAGAAAAAAAGTATACACGGTGTCTCGTAAACAAGCACAATGAAAATCAAAGTTAAATAGCAAATTTTTTTTTGCGGAAAACCTATGAATGCCATGATTTGAGAAGAATCACAAAAATGCCAAAACAGCATTAGTGCAACAACCTAAAAAAACTCAGTTGAGTCTTACTCACTTAAAAAAATTTCTGGTAGGTTTTGTACCAAGACCCTTAAAAGTTCAATTGGACCCAAGTTGAAAACATTTATTTCCATATAATTTTGGGTTAAATCAATTGATTTAAAAAAAATAGCTATGCAGCTTGAAGAGAGTGGAGTGTACAGGCAGACATTTTTTCCATGTTAATGCATTATTTTGGCATTTTTTAGTTAAAAATTACGCAAAGGGTTTATTGATGATGCCCATGAAAAGCTTCTCTTGCCGTCTGTTATTTCGTCGTTTTCTAGACGAATATTAAAATTTATTCAGGCAGCGCCATAATCAAACTGAATTCTGAAATTCAAATTAATTCTGACGGAATAAAAGATTAATGTTGGGAATCTATTCCGAAGTGCTTTGTTGGAATATTTTCCTAAACAAACAGGAATGTTTTTCTATTAAAAATGCCAAACAATTATCAGCACTGTTCGCTAATTTTCCCAATCTAAAAGCCTGTAGATTTCACAATATTGGCCGATAACCATTGACACATGTTAAACATTATTACGATGTTAAAGATAAAAAAACTGATAAGAGGGATTCAGCTGCGAAATATTAGCTGTTTAATTTCATTCAGGGTGTTCATCTTTAAAACGCTTGGCTTCACAATTAGACCATCCGTATAAAATTACGAATATTCCAAGCATAGTAAAGAAAGTAGTACGCGCAATTCTACACTCAACCTCCATTAAAAGTGACATAAAAACACTATTTAACCGCAATTCCTTTGCATAAAAATGCCGTTTCGACCATTCGGGCAATGATTCATCCGGAAAAGAGCAAACCGTAAAGTGGAATTGCGTAAAGAAAATTCCAGTGATGTGGAGGAAATATTGGCATTCCCCGACTACGATAATGGACCGCGGCGCTAGTAAATGCATAGCAAAAGAACGGAGTTTCTTAAGTTGTCCCGTAATTTTCACACTTGTTCCCATGCAAATTGCATGAACAGTCAAATTGCTTCTAAATTTCTTACAAGCTACAGCCACTTGCAAGGACTAAAATTTTTAAATAGTGCTGTTTATTAAAAATAAATTGCGACGTCATTGAAGGTAAATGGAGAACTTAGGCTCAACCTGATCCAGCCTTAATTGAAACCTTAGACTGTTTGAAATATTTACTTTATCACTCTTGCTAATAAGAAGATCGGGCACTTAGGGTTCCTTTGCTTCTTTGCTTTATTAAAAATTGCCGGTGTAACGCAATAACGTCCCGGGCTGAAGGAAACTCATTCTACTTTTTATTGTTCGAAAAGTTTTTAGAATAATTGGATTTTTATCGCATGGCGTGATCTTTTCTATTTTGACTCTGACATGACACATATTATTAATATTATTATCATTTTCATTTCGTAAATTTTTTGCTGTTCTCCTCTCATAAATCAATCGCTGCACCGCCATTCCAGCTAGTTTTGTTTTTACATTGCTGGTTGCGTCTCTAAACCGAGGTTTAGGTAAAACCATATATTCTCGTTAGAGCGTACAAGGGATTGGAAAATTGCAATTCCATATTAACTGGAATTTGAGGCGATAAATTTTGAAACTCTCCGATCGTCTCCTACCACGCAATATTCCTAACACGATCCAATGCAGTTGGATTCGACACTATCCGAATATTCAATCGATATCATAGTTTGGATTGTGAAAACCAAAAGGATGCGATAAGAATTTTAACAACTTTTGAGCAAATCTCCGATCCACAAATTACACTTCCCGGATCGATTTAAATTCTAAAGAATATCAGTGAACAAACCGGGATCGATTTTGGGACATTTTCAATGTCATTGAAAGATACAAGTTTGCTTGACGAGCTAACGTTTAATCAATAATTTCAATTATCCTAAACCCACAAGCGCCCGAAATCACAGTTTTACGATAAAAATACCTACATAAATCCATGTGAATTTATAATGCTGCTGTACAGCGCGTTCATTCCAATTTTGCTAGTGAAATTAGAGCTTTATTGAACGTTTTTGTGTTACTTACACACTTTGGAGAATCAGCTTGTTCTTATCGCTAATGCGAGTTAAACTTGCCTAAAGTTTCCAAAATTGCAAAAAATGTCCTAAGAGAAGCACTGAATTGAATCTTCTGGGACCTACAGTCGAAAGTTTGCTCTATTCAACACACTAAAACTCAAGGTTTTAGCTCAAGCTGTTTTTGCGAAACTAATTTTTGGACTTGAACTTGAACTTTTAAGCCAAAGGAATATTTCTAAAAATGCCCCAAAACCGCTTAACGATGCATTGGACTAAAACTCTAGTCCCATTTGCTCTATTAAAGCCCAGGTTTATATAAAACAGGTTTTGAAGAATACATTTTTCAACATAACTTGCAATCTATCATGGAATAAAGCGTGAGGATATTTTTGAAATTTTGCCCAAAATTACCCAATCACGCCACTCACTTGCAACTTTAGAAATCTACAGGTCAAAGCGTGTTTTATGTAAAAGAGTAGCGGGTACCCGTTTATCTGAAGCCATTTTCGAGAAAGTTATTATAGGACTAGACTCTGCAACATGCGAGGAAAAAACCAACTATTTTTTTCAAAAATTGTCTATAAAGAGCAAAGCGCGCTACTGAATCCAAACTTTCGGCATATTTAGTCAAAATTACGCTATATTCAACAGAATAAATCACAAATATCTATCTGAAGCCTGTTTTGCGAGATGAATTTTTGAACTTGATCTTGCGATATTCGATGAAGCAAAGCAAAAGGCATATTTGGACAAATTGCCAAAAAGTTGTTTACGAGCGCCACTCTATTTACGCTCTTGAAACATGGAAAATGCAAAGGAGCTCCATTCAACAAAAAATCGCTCTCAGATCTTTTGAACTGTATGAAGAAAATAAAACAAGCGGTGGTGAAAAATGCCTAAAATTGTCGAAAAACGCCACTGTCTATTTTAAAAATTTAGAAATGAAAGCGTGATATATGCAAAAAAGTAGCGTATAAGTGTTTATCTGAAGCCATTTTCGAAGAAGTTATTTTTGGAATTGCCAAAAAATACCAAAGTGCACCATTGCAATGAAACTTTTGGTAAATGTAGACAAAAGTGTGCTCTGCTCAGGAAAGTTTAAGCCTCTACCTCAAGCCATTTACGGTAAATGAGTTTTTGAATTAGCGTCAGGTCGTGAAGCAAAGCAAAAGGCTTTTTTGAAAAATTTACAAAAATTACCCAAGCACGCCACTGAACTGCAGTTTTGATGCCCGATAATGCCGCATGTTCGCTATCCAAAAAAAGCAAAATGGAAATTTATATCTCAACCGGTTCTCTAGAAACAAATTTCTGAACTTGAATCGGTAAAACGTCAACAAACAAAACTAGTCGCGAATGCTCCTAACACTCTGTATATTATTGATCTCTATTATTCGACTGGTTCCTCAACAAAACTGAAGGGCTCCTAATATTTACTATTAATATTTTTAAAGCCTAAAAACAAGTGTGTATCATACATCAAGCAATTATGAAAAAAAATCAACCTGCTTAAATGGTTGACTCCATCTAAACCAATCATCGGATGTTATATGGGGATACTGATTGTGATTGAAAATTGTTATTGAATACAGGCTGGCACATTTAGTTGATTAGTTAATAGCAAAATTTCCAGCTCGAGAAAGTTCATTATGGTTCATCATTATCGCATATTGCTGCTTGCAGTGAATGTTGCTTTAAATAGACAACCTTCACAGGGCTGCAAGAAATTGCCGGGTGTTAATTTAAATCGATGCAGTCTTAAATATACTCAGGGTTTCTTCAAAAGAAGTGTATAAATCGGGCCACACGCGATCGTTTTCTGCAGAATTTTTTGCCATGAATGGGCCAAGTCGACGTTTAGTTTCAATTATTTTTAGCTAACGCTCAACGATGCCGGCAAATAATAATATAATAATTTTACATGTACAGAATTCCTACTTTACTTAGTTGATGCAACACATGCAACTGTTCAAAAATTCGTGAAACTTGCCGCTCGAGGAACGGACATTAACCGAATTAATTAATATCGGTTAAACGCCCACATAACAACGATTTATGAATTTATTACATGTTAGCTGCTTATTATTCCCCATCAAAATTGGCACATATTCATAAAACGCACCGATGCGTGTTTGTCATAGAACTAGAACTACCCATGTTCTGTGGGTTTTAAGGTGGAGGGCTTAATTAAAATGCCATAAAAAGTAGATTAAAGCGAAAAAACAGTGCAAAAAAAAACAAAACTTAATCCAAAACTTGGATAACTGGCTGAACCGTAAAACGAATGAAACATGAGGAAAAGTCCATGATTGAGCGATAATTAATATTAGCACTGAACTTAAATGGCGTTTGCATCGACTTTCAAATAATTAACGTGATGTTAACCTGTGGCAGACACTAAAAAGGAACATTAGCTAAATACACCACCCACTAACTTTTAACAACAATGCCGTCTAAAAGCTCGTTCTAGCTGGGACTTTGACAAAGAAACGCCTTTCCTTTCCGCTTTAAAAGCCCGTCTCTTGTCAGTTTCGCGTGGGGTATCAACGTTGTTGATAGAGGAGAAACGACCAGAAAGAAAACACTGGTTTATTGTCAATGCGGTCGTCTTGAAACGTTATCGTGTTTACGAACATTCGATACCCCGCGCTAGTCTTTCACCTGCCTAAGCCATTTAATTAGCAATCACCCCTTAACGGCCGTTAATAATAACGTTAGAATTACTCTGCCAATATTCGGTAGATTAGGGGGATTTTCTTTGCAACATCATCTATGATTTGGGCTTGATTTCACGTTTCAGATGCCAATTGATTAAAAATACCACGTTCAGCAAATAATTAATTAGTGGGCACAAGAACATCATCCTGCCCGCGCATTTTGCCCCCATTTTTTGATAATTAACCGCCAGCAATTACCAAATTGAAGCTAAAAGGGAGTGAATTTGCTAATGTGTATTCGAGCTATGTCACCGGAAACGTTCCACCAAACCTTTCCATCCCAGTCGTATGAACGACTTACCACATTTTAAGGGTGTGGATGTTTGCCTGCCGTAATTCAATGTTGATCTTTGGCACAATGCATTTAAAATTGAGTTAATGAATTAATTGGTTGCAGCAATCGTGGATCTTCATGCTGCCGCCGCAAGTTCACCATCGGCATCAAAGGTATTTCACAAGTTTTCTAACTTTGTGTTACATAAAATTGTGTTTTTTTAGACAAATTTCCCGCGCCGCACTTGTAAAGCTGATGAATTGGAAGAGATTTGCTTCGCGAAAAATGGCACTTACCAACAGCACAGTAAATCAGGGCGCATTAGTATTGGCCCCCATCACCTAGATAAATGCGATGTTAAAACCATCTCTTATAAAGTGTTCAATGGTAATCACCCTTTTCAATCCCTGAATGTGCATTTTCCGTTTATTCAATCAGAAAACGTTTGCACCTCATTATCGCGCCCATGTGTTGGATTAATCGAGTTTACAAATTAATTGTAATGTTAATTGATATTCCTCGTTCACGACAGTTAAATGCAAAATTTAGCCAAATAAATTAGCTGGCTGGTTATCTGCGCTTTGTGGCGCATAGTGGCTTATTTCATTAATTAATGCGTCTATCTAATTAACAACTTTCAGGGGCAAAAATCAACGTCTATCCTGCTAGTGAAAACTCTGACACCTGGACCATATCAATCAATGAAGCTTCTGCACTTGTGAACATCAGCTGCTTCATAGTTACCCCTGAATATTCAAGGAACTACTCAAAGCTGCTGGAAATCCGGCAGGATTTCCAGGAATGCACCACGCCAAGACCTCAGGAGACCCATAAAATCCACCGCACAAAATTGCGCAAAGTAACTCCGAAGTAACTCCACTTGATTCGCTACTGTTTGTCTTTTGCAGGGCGAGCGCATTGATAATATTTTCTTCCTGGATCACGCTCCAATCGGAACCAATAAATACCAGGCCTTTATAGCTAATGCGAGCATTTCAGGTCTTTTGGTGCCGGATTGCACTTACCACGTGGATATCCGCAATGGACGCAATGGAACAATAATACATTGCCGTAAGTGAAACCGTTCCATGTCCACGCAACTTGCCAACACAGTGTCGTTATTTCAAGGGCTAAAAGCTACCAAAAGTGCATCATTTAAAACGGACTTTAGCTTCCTCTTCGGCCTAACAAACACCAACTCAGCCTGCCAGAACAAGGACAGCACAGTAAGTGAAGTAAATTTTTCGAAGATTTGCTCAAATTGATCGATTTTTCCAGGGTTATATCAATATAACCTTCGGCATGGGAAGCAGACGCATCAAACGTGCCAATATTTTCAACAACAACAGCAAAATATTTCGGTGATTTATCCCCGAGTGGATCTAAGTAATTGTGGTAGTAATATAGAGACATTTATAGGACGGCCGCCCCTTTTGCCCGAGTGACTCAACCAGCCGCCCAATCTTCCTATATGGGCAAATATCGATGCGAAGCCATAAATGCGCCTAGAAACCCTTTCAGTATCACTCGCGAGGGAATTATTTACGTGGATGATATTGGGGCTTTGAAAGTTGCTCCTGAAAATGTCAGGTAAAGGAAGTTGGGCCACATTTTCTATCGCCAAATGCCTCATGGCATTAGTCGCCTAATCCCAACCGTTTGGGAGCTATGAAGTTTTAAAGCTTTGGACCAATTTAAATTTTTTCAACCTTTCGAACTGATGCGGGAAAGCTTTTGTATCAAAGCGTTTTTTGCATCCTTGGAAAAAATCACAGGCATTCAAATCGGGAGAGCGCGCTGGCCCCCACAGGACCCTGACATTTCATTAGAAGCCCATTCTAAACTTATAATCCCTAAAATGAAATTTCCAGGCTAAACATATCCTGGACCAGAAACAACTCAACAGAATACGAGGAAATCAACGTGAGGCTTGTGATGGAGCCAACGCAAACCTGCAGTCACTACAGCGCTGATGACTGGATCCACTCAAGATGCGCATCTTACAGTAGCCCCAAAAGTTGCACTAGAAAAGACTCGTGCGGCTTGGGAACAGGAGGAGACACCGGCTATCAAATCCGGTAGCTCCAATCACATCCTCAGTTATCCCTTTGAAAAATATCGAAATTAATTCCAGAAACCATTTGGAAACATATCGTTGCATTTGGAGAGGCGACAAGAACCCAGACAATCATGAAACACATTTGTACTCCACCTGTACATCGGATCCGCGTTTTTGCCCCGATGGAAACTGCGACTCATTGGAAGAATTGGCTGCTGAGGATCTCTGTCCTCAAGATTGCACCACAAGTATGCATTAAGCGAAGGTTCTGTTTGTTTTTTTTCTTTCACAAACTGGCTTTTGGATTGAGGTTTTGAGCAAAAGTCTGGATTTTAGAGCCGGCATTTCCTGCAAAGTTGAGCAAAGCAGGTCGCGGCATCGACAAATGCAATGGAGTGCTGGTTTGCGATGATATGGGATGTTCCTGCCAGTTAAAATTCTTCGCGAACAAAATTTTGCCAGTGGAACCCAAAGATGATAGACTGATTGCTGATGAACAGCCTGGTAAGCGTCTGAACTGAATATTGTTGCATGCTTTGTAAACTGGGGAATTTCAGAGAGACTGGCATGCGACACCGAATGCATTTTCCTCGCTACTGGAGGACTTTTGGTGGCAGTATTTGCCATATTTTTCTCAATCATTCTTTGGCGGACGGTTCGCAAGAGGAGGTCGTCCAAGGATAAGTACCTGGAAAATTTGCAGGAAGCCGAAACCCCATTTTCCGACTACATCGACAGGACGGTGATCAATGAGCCCCTAGTGCTGAATTTCCATATGAGCAGGAGTCTGGAAAATACCAGCGCCAACGGCGTCAAAAGCATCAAAGTACGCATTTTTCCATCGTTTTTCGGTTTCTGTATATCCAAAGTCTGCAGGTTGATGCAAAGTGGAAATTTCCTAGACATCAAATTTTCATTGAGCAAGTTTTGGGGGAGGGCGAGTTTGGAAAAGTGCTCAAAGCGAAAGCCTTCAATATAGCATCCCGTCCAGGTGAGAACAAGCTATTCAATGGAGCTTTATCTAGCAACTTTTTTTAGGATATTCACTAGTCGCAGTTAAAACACTGAAAAACGACGCAAGGAATCAGGATTACAACGACTTATTTTCCGAGTATCAGCTGCTAAAAGAGGTAAATCACCCCCATGTCATCCAGCTTTTGGGCGTTTGTTCTTCGGAGGATGGACCGTTGTACGTTATTATTGAGTATGCAGCTTTCGGGTCGTTGAGGTAACAAGTGCCCACCAATTGAGGAATTTGAGTGTGATATTGGAAATTGTAGAAACTACTTGCGAAAAAGCCGGCACATTCTAACCGCCGCCGAATTGGGACATTTGGAAGACACATTTGAGCACAAAGTAACGGCCAGGGATATTTTGTCTTTTGCCCGACAAATTGCCAGCGGGATGTCCTATCTCAGCGATATTAAGGCGTGTAGATTATTTGCAATAAAATCTCAATATTACTAAAAAAAACGGTTGAAAATGAAGGTTTTGCATTTTAGCTGGTTCATCGAGACCTGGCGGCCAGAAATATTTTACTGGCCGAAAACAAGGTGTGCAAGATATCGGATTTCGGCTTAACCAGAGATATCTACGAAGACAATGCTTATTTCAAGAAAAGCAAGGGACGAGGTTCGTATTTTTGAACAAGCGGATGAAATATCGCGTCC